CCATTGTTTAAAAACCTCATTAAGTAGGCATTATCTCCTGAGTGGATTGTTGAGTCTCCTTTTAAGTCCTTAATCAATGTTGGAGTAAGGTATGAAGTCAAGGACTAAATCCCTTAATTAATTACTAGAGATGTGTGTGGTATTGCAAGGATAGTTAGGTAGGATAATTCCATAGGTAGCTTGATTTATGCATGTTAAGCTTATGGTGTACCCATACCCAAGCTATGTTATACTTGATGATGGCATTGGACTTTCCTAATTAAGTGACAACACCTGAGAAATCATGTTGTAAAGATTAGTATTCCATTTGGTTGTTGATCTAGTAGGTGTAAAAAGATTGGATGGTTTGATAGGATCAAACCACTTAGACTGCTCACTTTAGTGTATGAGATCTCCATAGGTGAATGAATGTCAACTTATTAGTTGAGGTGTATGCATATGATGTATTGTTTTGGTGATTGTTCATATGCTATATGATGTTGTATGTTGAATGGAAAGGTTGTGGCATAAGTTTGATATGCTTAAATTGCTTGTCTTTCAAACTTGTTTGATGCCATGTTGAGTTGTTATGGTATTGAAAGCATCGTAATCCATGAGGTGATGTTATGTATGGTTTACATGTTGGTGATTAGTATAGATACTTTTATTTTATACTTGTATCATGTTGTATTCTTTATTACACTAGATTACCTAACATATTTTTTGGTGGTGAGCTACGATGATCATGTTTACATGAAAGCAGGACAAGGTTTGCTGAAGGCATGTTGCGATTTTGTGAGCCATGCTATGAGATGACGGTGTACTTGGAGGCTACTTGTGTATGGGTTTTGGCAGGATTTCTTGACCAACAACCTAGACTTATATATTATAATTTTGGATTACTATATATACATATATATTTGTACAATATTTTGTAGCAAAATTTTATTGCATATATTTATATATTATCACTTAGGTAATTATTTTATTTCCGCTGCTAGTAGTTGATTCTATAAAGTGTAGGACCATGGTAGGTTGTTATACAATTGAGAATGAAAGTGATGAAAAAGAGCAATTTGTGGACAATTAAAAGGAATTCTATGTCAATTGTATAAATAACCGACATAGAATGTGATTTCAAAGTCAAATGTCACCTTACAAGATGTTGAATGGCTAAACTTCGTTGGTTGTTTTATAACTAATGTAATAGAATTCACATAATTTACGAAAATGTCATCACATTTTCTACTACATTCTAACATTGAATGTGACAAGGCTGAAGTAGATACTATACCAAAAAAAAAACTAAAGTAGATAAAACGACATAGAACATTATTTTTTCACAAATGCACTTTAGATTAAAATATCACAAATAAAATTATCACATACTACTACCATCATGATTGTCTTTATTAGTGTAATTCTGATCACCATCATCATTGCAGTCGCTACTACCACCACTAGCACAACCTCCAACATTGTCACCACCATCACTTTCATCATCATCTTCACCACCACCATTGTCATTATCACTATTCTTACTAGTTATCAATGATGGTGGTGATAACAAAAATAGTGGTGGTAATGGTAAAAATGATAGTGTTGATAACAACAATTGCAATAATAATAATGACAATGATTGATTGCAATTTTTAGTTAAAATATATTAGATAAGAGAAATTAGATTGGATACGAAAGATTGATTAAAATCAACATCCAAACATCTTTGTCTTCACATCTTTAAAACTTAAAACAATTCCATTGATTTATTTTTTTAACTTAATTGTTTTTTTATAAGCTAATATAATTACAATTAAGTCGTCCAATCCCAACCAACGTTACTTTTAAAGTTTGAAATATTGATTAAAAATAAATGTGAAATAAGTCTTTAAATTTTAGTGTAAATTAGCCTATTAAAATTGGAGATTTAATTAAAAATATTTGAAACAAAGAAAATAAAATGGATAATTACTACAATATGTCATTGGCTCATGCTTGACTATTATGAGGGTATCATCACCTATGTACCATTTTACTCATAAAAAAAGGTAATTACCATATAAAAGGTAGTTAACATATCCAATTAGCATGAACTAATAAAATTTTAACCACGCTAGTGAATGGAGAATTTAATTACAATTTTTTTAAATTATAAAGATCTTTTCAAAGTATTTTTAACTAAGGGAACCTAATTAATTAAAAACTAAGAAAAACTATAAGGATTAACACATTAATTTAACATGCAATAAATTGATAAAAGATAAGATGATAAAAGATAAAATTTATCTTAATCCAAACTAAGATGAAATAGTAAGCCTAAATTGAGGTATAACAAGTAGATAAGACATACATATAAAATATATGACCAACAAAGAGATAAAATACTAAAAGTCTAAACTAATGATAAAATGCAATACTATAAGTCGTAAAGTGTTATAATTATTTTAAGTCATTTTTGTGTTGTTAAGCTGAATTGTTGTTTAGTGTTATTGAGAGACTTTGGAGTCTGTGGATTTCTTAGGAATTTCAGTAGTGTTAGAGGTTTCTCTTGGCAAAGGGCTAATTTGTCCCCGAGAGGAAGAATAGCTTCAATTTAGAATAAAGTCTCATAAACTCAAGTTCTCAAGATTCTAGAGAGAAGGACTCTGATCCGTGAGTTTTCTTTTGCTCAAAATCTTCACTTTCTTTCCTAATCCTTACTAGTGTAATGTTGTTGTTGGATTCAAGTTAGTAATTGCTAGAATCTCGTGGCTGAAATCAGTTGGGTGAGGTGCAAGGTTTCTACTTCCCTTCTTCTACCTCTGTTTTATGTTGTCCAAATTTGTTGAAAATCTTTCTTGGGAAGTTGACCCTTAAAGTGGATAGTTATGTTGAATCACCTATAAGACTTAGTTGGTGCCATGTATGGATAAGGTTGAGGCACATGTGTATAAAAAGATCACAGTATAGGAGTCAAGTTGAGTTATACTAATTACAAGTGACCAACCGAGTAAAGTATGAAATCGAGAACTCAATTCCTAACCGAGTATCGAAAGGGCATAGTATTTGGAGAGTAGTCAATGAGTTAATTTCATAGGTAACTTAGTTAAGCTAGCTAATGTCGTGGTAGGCCCAAAGTCAATTCTTGATAATAGTACTAGACTTCTTCTTATTTATGTGATGACATCCAAGAAACCAAGTTATTATGTATAGTACATATTCTCATACTTGTAGATATATAATTCTAAGTTAATAGTTATTCCAGCTACTAATTATTTATCATTAAGTATAGGGATCATGACAAATCATTAAACAAAATAGGCATATGCAATGTTACTTAGCAAACTTTAGTTTGCAACTTTGATAAATGAAAAAAAAAAGTAGAAAAATATATAATTTATACATGTAACTATCGTACTTTCACTACAACAAAAAGAACTTTTGACAATATTTGAAACATGTTACCTAATTATGTATAAATATGCTATTAATTTACTTTTACGACATATTATCAAATGTTGTATATAGTTTATGTTGTTAAAAAATTTTAATAACATTTTTACATAATCAGACAATATTTTTTAAATATTATCAAACTGGTATTTTTGTAATATTTTAATAATGTTATCAAGTTTTAGTTAATTTTATAAAATAATAATTAGTTTTAATATAGATATTACCATACATTATATTTTATGACTTCTAACCTCCTACAAATTCTTTAAAGTTGAAGACATACTTAGTTAGTCACCACCAAATCTATATCAAATATCAAAGTTTATTTATCTTAAGTATTACTCTATAATTATCTATAATTTTTATGTATTCAATGTAGGACTTTAATTTTGAACAATTAGAGATTAGAGAAATACACTCTTTATGTTACATGTTTTTACTCGATGTGTGATTTTTATTTTGGAAACAATTAAAAATACTAATATTAAGATAATAAAAAAATGATGTTATTTTATCTATAATAACATTGTTTAGAAAAAAAATTATTACAAAATACTCTATTTACTCAATATATAATAATATTTTAATAAATATAAGTAGGTAAATATTGATAAAGAAGTAAAATATAATTTTTTTACTAAAATAAATAGTGACAATTAAAAAAAATTATAAGCATTTTTCATCTATACCCATAATTTCAAATTCATCACTAAAAAGTCAAAATCAAATAATGACATAAATATATGTAATTACATGCAAATTATACCTGCAATTTATCGTATGTTTGGAGGTATATAAAATCATATTTTATATTAGTTAGACTTAATTACATTCCTTTTATCATCAATTTTTTTTATTTTGTAAATTTTGTCATTTTAATGTTTGAAATTATATATTTTATCATTAATTCAATTTTAAATTTTTACATATTTTAACTATTAACGTAACATGTTAACGACTGATGTATTATATTGATGATCAATTTGTCATATTTATGGTCAAATAAACGAAAATATACAAACAATTAAAAAGGTGACAAAATGTATAAAACGTTAAACTTTTGGTAGCAAACTATACAATTTCAAAAACTATTGACAAGTTTCGTGAAATCCTAAATCTTTCGTAGAAAAAAGAATATAATTAAACCCATGAGTTACTGTCACCTGTATTAACATTATTGGAAGAGTTTGAACTTTGAAATAATTAGTATCCTAGTTAATTAGATTGTTTATTTGGAAATGACACGTTTGATAACATGGTAATAGTATAAATAAAAAATCACACGTCAATTAGTTGGTTCAATCAAGTCTTTTGGCGTTATTTATTGCATTGGCAATCAACTAATTATTGACGTCGCAAACACAGCTTGAACAGAACCTGACCCAACCCAACAAACAAAGCCACGGAAGAACCCACAATTTGACCAAAGGCTAGCTAGCTGTTTGTTATCAGTGAAGACAGGGAGTGCCCACTTTCAAACAGTATGAACTAACCTAAGAAAATGGGATTGACATTCACACGTGTCTATAAAGAAACGGGTACCAAGCGTGTACGTGCCCCTTTATAAAACACTTCCACTTTCATCAATTTGTTGTAATTAACGTAGCTAGCTCCCATCCACCAACTTTGTACACAACAAACACTTGATCGTCTCTGCCCTCTACCTTTCTTCTATCCAAGGTAACATTTTCAGTATCATTTCTCAAACATGTCACTATCTCCTCGCACCCCATTTCTCCATCATCAACGAATTATTCAGACTAATTCTTCATAGTTCATACCCCCTTAACTAATATCATCTCATAATTATTACGTTCTGAAAAACTAGATCATATCTTCTAATTTCTATTTTTGTTCAACTTCTTTTCAGTGCGTCTCATATACCAATATCCCATTAATTTGTAAGGATGATGCAAATCTCGTCGACCATGTACTTGCCAGAACTTGTAAGCACAGTGTGTACTCAACTTTCAAGAAAACTAATTACAAAAGATATATAATTACGGAACCGTTAAGTCTTTTATTGAATTAACAGGGAATAATGGAGGACCCCACTTTGTTTCATCAGTACCCGATGGATCCTTTTGCATTCCAGCTCGAAGATGTTGACTTTGAGTCCCTCTCTGCGTCCCCAATGAGTTCTTCCTCTCACAAGCGCTTCAACTCCGAAAGCACCCAAAACTCTTCCCTCACACAAAGTCCTGAACAATCTGTTGCACCTGCAAGACCAACCAAGCAACCCAAGACCTGGAGTGCTTACGGTAGTGACATGATGGCTCCCAAGGTTTCATCCTCCAAAATCATCTCTTTTGAGAACTCCAATGCGTCTTCAGTTTCTTCCCGACAATTCTACAACCTGGATGCTGCCAAACTGAAGAAGCCTAAGATTGAAACTGGGTATGGTGAAAACTTTGATTTTACAGCTATGGTTTCTCAAGGTCTCTATGACGACAATAGTTTTCTAGACTATGATAACCGAGAGAAGAAGCTGATGGCTGCAACCACAACTACTAGAAACCCTATCCAAGCCCAAGATCACGTGATAGCCGAAAGAAAACGGAGGGAAAAGCTTAGCCAGAGGTTCATTGCTCTTTCTGCCATAGTTCCTGGACTCAAGAAGGTACCATTTATAACAAATTTCATGCATCCATGTCGTCAAACACAAGGTTTACATTATATTTTTACAGTCACAGTAAATGCTTTTGAAATTACAGTAATCAATCATAGAAAATAAGAACAAATATGGCTGATGCAGTTAATTATAACCAGGTTACTGATGAAACATCCAAAACTGTAATATTGTGGCTATAATTTGAAACCTTGAACATATGCAATACATAGGTTCATTTAACAACTAAAAAACAATGAATTGGCCACAAATTTAGCGACGAAAATTATTGTTCTCTCACTACTTCTAGGACTATTGAATGTTGCTTACCTAATTTGAGTTTAACCACCTAATATAGCTAGCCAAATTGTATCATATTTGTACGTAAATGTCAGTCCCTCTTATTGAATAATGAATGTTTGAATGCAGATGGACAAGGCTACCGTCTTGGAAGATGCTATAAAATACGTAAAACAACTACAGGAACGGGTGAAAACTCTGGAGGAACAAGCTGTGGATAAAACAGTTGAATCAGCCGTGTTTATAAAGAGATCTGTTGTTTTCACCGGGGATGAAAGCTCTTCCTCCGGTGAAGAATCCGACCAGTCACTCCCCGAAATCGAAGCAAGAATTTCTGGTAAACAAGTGCTGATCAGAATCCACTGCGACAAACACAGTGGACAAGCGGCTACTATACTAAAAGAATTAGAGAAGCATAATCTCACAGTTCAGAGTAGCAGCTTTTTGCCCTTTGGGAATAACACTCTTGACATATCTATTGTGGCTCAGGTAAATATATATTAACATAAAGTTTTCAAGAATAATCTTCGTTATTTCTGTTACTCACATATTCATCATATGGTTTGTGTTTTGTTGCATTGCAGATGAACAAGGAATACTCCTTGACAGCTAAGGATCTCATAAGAAGCTTAAGTCAGTGTTTGAGGCAGCTTTGATCTGAATAATTAATGACATCGTCCACTGATGTAGCTTCATTTGTTGATGTGCATGCATGACTATAGGAATAAACTCAATAATTAACGACTTTTTTTTTATCGCAGTGCATTCTTTTTCCCTAGTCCATCATCTGGATTTTGGAGTAATATATCAATGGTCTGCGATTGCAACAGTCTCCTCCAATGTGTCTTAGTTTACTTGGGTCTGTTTTGATGTAGAGTTTAAGATAATGCCAAATGTTTTCCTTTTTCTGCATAGTTTTTGCGTAGTTGATTGATAGCTGCGTTAATATGTCCCATAAAGGCATTATTAGTTTTTTTTTTTTTTTTTTTAAAGAAGAGGGATTTTTTTAGAGGATTTGACTCTTCAAATAGACCTCTTTCCTCCCTCTTTCGCTTTGTGAACAGGGTCCAGTTTGATTTAAAAACAATGTTGGCTGCATTTATTTTATATTCTTCTCCGTGTCGGATTATGATTATCACTTCCGTATAAAATTATTGTGATTAACTAAATAACTATTTGTTCCTTGTTTAATTTGTATTTTGGATATTCGTGGTTGCATATCTTCAACTACTAATTTTTTTTAAACGAGATTCTCGCCATTTGGACTTATTGTGTACAACTTGAGTGATATTTTTATGGTAAAGGAAAACAAAACAAGTTGAGTGATATGATTGGTGATCATCCATTTAAAGTAATGTAATTAACTCAAATTTTATGCTTTTTAATATTTCTAAGATAAATAATAAATAGATGGGCTATGCAAAATCTTAAACGTGTATTTAAGGGCAACATTTTACTAATAATATAGTGTTATGTACGTATCTCTCTGTCTCTTTTCTGAATTACCAATAATATATCTACTGATTTGTAGAGGGATTGATTAATTTTAATGATGTCATTGGATCATGGGTCCACCTGGCATTATCATAATTATTGCAACTTAGTAGCAATATGAAAAACCACTTAATCCTACCCAAATTTTGAGATCTGCTTAGTAATCTTGTAATCATTTAAAAACACGTAGTCGCACGCTTGCTTCCATGTTGAGCGAAGTTTTATTACGATGTTGCGTTGCGTACAGAATTTTTAAATTCAAATAAATTAAATTTAAATGTAAATTTAAAAGTAAATGTAAAAATATTTAAGAAAATAATATTTAAAATTATATATAAAAAAGTATCTTTAATTTAGGTGAAAATTAAATAGAAATAAGCTAAAAATTATTATAAAAATTGTATGTATTTATATAATTAATTCAAAAGTAATTAAATTAAAATGGATGTATATTTATCCCTCAAGTATAGCCTTCATGTTAAATTTCAATTTTGAATTGTAATTGTATACAACTTTAATTAATCTTTTCCACTAAAAATATAATTGATTTACTGATGTAATATTCACAGTTAAAATAATAAATAATGTGATAATTCATACATATATTTATATATTTATGTATTGTTGGTGACATGCCGTAATCATATAGTAAAGAGAGAGAGTTGTCAAAATATTAAAATGTGAAATTTGAACCCTCCACTTTAACCGCTAACAACACCATTTACTATTAACCTAATATTTTTTTAATATAAATAATAGTTATAACACATACTTTTAAGAAGAACTAAACTTACATGTATATTTACTATTATTAAATAAAAAAAATTATATATTATTAGTGCTAATAATATAAATGATATATTGATAGTAACAATATTGATTATTAATAATATTATCAACATTATTAATATAGTAATAGATAAATCAATAATTACTAAATATAAATATATTGAATATAAATATAAATGTCAAAATAATATTAATTAAAAATATCTGATACAAATATTGAACATTTAATTTGTATATTTCAGTCACTAAATTTTCTATTTAAATCATAGGTTTATAATTATAATTCTTCTAACATATTTATATTCAGTAAAATATATTAATATATATATATAATCATTTATATTTATTAAATTATTATTTTATCTATAAAATACTAAAAATATGATTAATATTAACTTATAAATAATATTATTAATATTAATAATATATAATTATTTATTTGATAATAATAAATTTATAATAAAAATTGCTTTTTTCATCCCAATTTTTTAGTCCTTTAAAGTTAATGCACATGAATTAAGAAAATTTTAATTTAATATATATAAATTTAGACTAAAAAGTATTTATTTAACACCATATTATCTCAACTTCGATATAATGTTTTTGTAAATAAAAAAAAAAAAAGAGAGAGAGTGAACAATGGATACAGAAATGCCTATTAAACAAGAGAAATTGAGAAAAAGATATTAATTAGATTTTAAAATTCTAAAATCACAATTATTTTGAGACAAAAATAAAGGTTAAAAAGACTAAAAATTTGGATATATATATATATATATATA